CAAAAATTCCTATATGTCCATGTGTATACTGCTACAGTAAACATCCAACGGCCTAGATTGAATCTAGGCCGATCTGATGGTCACGGTTGTCCAAAAATGTTTGAATATTAAAAAAAGAGAGAGATGTATCTATTAGGATAGTAAATAAGTTAAATAGTCATTTTTCTCAAAAACTGAATATTTGTTCACCTTGAATATGAGTTTTGAGAGGCGTGAGTATGCTTAGTAGGGTCTAGGTGCCTCCACTCTTTCAAAGCCCATCTCTTGATCCAAAAGTTTACCGATTAACCATTTTGATCGAAATAGAAGAATAAATATTGAATTTCAAGTTTTAAAAAATAGCCCATTTTATATTTTCTTTGGATTGCTCATTTTAATCAAATTGTTTTCCTAGATATACGTCAACCCACCACTTTCCTTTAGCTATCTTATTCAAGACTAGGGCTGGCAATGGTCCGGCGGCCCAGCCCTAAAGAAGTAGGGCATAGGCCACAAGATGTGGTTCGAGAGCCTGGCTAGAGCCGATGCTGGCCTGGTTCTCCCAGCTAGGTTCTCTGTTTTTCTTGTTTATTATCTTATTCTTTTCTTTAGTTTTTTTGGGCCTATCCAGCCAGCCCAGCCCTATCTGAGCCTGGGCTGTCCCTATGGAGACGAGGGCTGGCCGGCGAGCCTTGGACCATCCCATTGCCACCCTTATTCAAGACCAGTCTATTAAGTTTATCGTGTTTTTTTTTTTTTGGTAACTAACTTTATCGTGGTCTTATCATGGCACAGTGAATATTACTCCCACAGCAAATAACACCAGGGAATCTCTAAAGCGCTCTATAGAAGTTAGAAATTTCAGAGACGGGCACACAGGGGTGGTAACGGTCCGAGAACGGGTCAGGTCTGGCTGGACCCGGTTTTAGACCCAAATAGTATTCGGGTCCAGGTTTTGGACCCTTACCCGACTCGTCGGGTCCAAAAGTTGGGTGTTTTGGGTGTGGTTGGGTCCATTGCTACCCTCACTATTTTTATTTTTATTTTTACCTTATTTTTACCAACATATACCCATATTATTAGCAATAAAATGACAACCACGTGCCATTAGATTTCAAGCTGTTTGATTTGTCGTTTAATAGCTAAAGATGACTACGAGTTCTTATTGTACACGATCTTTAACACACCCAAACAAATAGGCTTAAAGTATTTTATCTCCGGCCGTTTAAAGGTACGGGTCGAGTCAAATTAGACCCGGATCCAGACCCGAATAGTATTTGGGTCCAAGTTTTGGACCCGAACTTGACCCACCGGATTCAAATGTAGGACCTATACCCGACCATGTTGGGTATACTTGACGGGTCCCAAGATAGGTCCGGTCGGCTCTAGGTCTATTGCCACCCCTACGGGCATATGACTTTTGCCTTTAGCTCATATCCTTAGCTTTGGAATAGAGTAGTTGCGTAATATCTTGCTCAGCGTTGAAACCAAGCCAATGTCTCTAAAGGCGAAGCACATGGTTCCTTTCAAATTATCATTGAAAGGTCCCCAATTCTCATCTCCTATAAATAGGACCATGTCCCATGGGCTTTCCAGTGGTTACCTTCTCTTTCTTCTCCACATTGTAACACTCTCTCTCTCATAGATGGTGTGTTTTCTACTTTTATTAGAATTACCTCTACCTCTTATACCTATGTTTCTATGCGGAATGATCTTATTCTACTGAGATAATACTTCTTCCTCCCTCTCCCTCCTTTTCATTTCGTGTGCATCTCTTTATTTATGTGAACTTTTCAATTGCATGTTAATTTAGGACTTGAGTTAAAATGGAATCATAGATATCACACTTGTGGCACCCAACACCCTGACCACCTGTGCTTATACCTAGTGCTCATTGTCCATGATAGTTAAAGTTCAAAAAAAAAAAAAAAAAAAGAAAGCTCATAGTACATGCATCTCTCTCTCATGCCTTCAATTTTTAATCTCTCTTTCGAAGTTACATTGATAGCTTCGGCTAGTATTTCAATGATTTTTGTGTATTTATAGTATAATGAATAATGGAGTTGTGGCTTCATCAGGCATACATAGGTGGTGGTATCTCTGCTAACAATGTTCCAAGCTTTAAGCTTGTGATAGTTGGAGATGGAGGCACAGGTACACAAAAATCTCCGTGTTTTCAATAAAAAGGATTATTTCCTTCTTCTTCTTCTTTTAAGAGGTTTTCTGGTATTCTTAGTGTGTCATTTGTGATTGAAATTGCAGGCAAAACCACTTTTGTCAAGCGCCACTTAACAGGAGAATTCGAGAAGAAATATGAACGTAAATTACACAACAAACTCAAAACTCATATGTACTCTCTATTTTATTTTAGCTTTTTGAGAAAAAAATAGTTATATTGGGTGGCTGAGATGTTCCCTCATGCAGTGGCACACCATAGTCGCATTTCTCACCCTTGATTTAGCTTTAGCTTTGACCAGCTCTGAGACACTCTCTTAAGTTAAAGATTCAGATGGAAAAACTTAAGGATGTTTTGGCTATTTTCTCAGATTGAAACAGAGTCCATGGTTGGCTCATGTGAGGAAACGTACGCCATGCACCTTTCCTACTTTCTGTTTCTGTAAGATTAGTGTGAAAAGAAAAGGACTCAGGGTCGGGACTCACCAAGGTCTCAAAGCCCGAGTCATGTCTGACAGTCTTAGCCAAGACAGTGAGACTCAGCCCATTCCAAACAGAAAGATAATGAAATATCAGAAGGCAACTAGGCATTATAGGAACCCATATGCCTGGTTTTGGACTTGATCGCTTGTCTGGCCAAAGCAGCTCGTGCGAGTCCAAGTTTCATCTGTTGGAGAATGAATGGTTAATGAATGCAATTCTTAAGACCAATGGTTAATTTCCACCTTTGATCGACAAGAATAGATGATGGATGCCCCATAGTATATTGCATATGATACAAGAATCATTAGGCTGGCAACAGGCTGGGTCAAGCTCTAGCCTGCCTATAGGGCCTTCCCGAACCGGGCCCATCTTAGAAGCTTAGGCGCAGCCCTAGTCCTATCTAGGCCGGACCTATATTATTCAAAAGGAAAAAAAGGGAATGTGTGGCCCTAACCATAATTTTTCAGGGCAGAGTCGAGCCCATTGCCAGCCCGAATCATGTAAGTATACTTTTTCCTAGTGATAATTGATGGAAAACATCCCCAAACTTTTGCTAGCTATCTCATTCTTTGTATTGATATATTTGAGCATCTTGAAATAAACAATGGAAATGTATATTATGAGATTATTTATCTTTATTGCAAGGAGGTCACAATTAATCTTAGCCTTTAGATGTCAAATTGGATGGCTTGAGATGTGTCACAGAGTGCAAGAAATCCTTTTTTGAATTTTGAGTTCTAGTCAGTGACACACTCACAACTACCCGTTTCAAATCTGGTGGATATCAATGATTGTGACCTCCTTCCGCTAAAAGTAAATTGTCTCTTGGATACTTTTCCATTAAAAATAACTCTTTTTTTTTTGCAAAATGATGGAAGTGACCTTATCTTTAAAAAAAAAAGAATATTCATATTTTCAACTGCCCTATAGATCTAAGAGTTATGTACCTTATAGTGACCAAAGCCCACTTATCAGTAATGTATATTTGTGTAATGACATCACAATATTTAGATTGTCGTCAATTGGCACAAAGCTAAAGTTTCATTTTATTGTCCTTGCAGCCACAATTGGAGTTGAGGTCCACCCCTTGGACTTTTTCACAAATTGTGGGAAGATCAGGTTTTACTGCTGGGATACTGCAGGCCAAGAAAAATTTGGTGGCCTTAGGGATGGATATTAGTAAGTAAACTCTCTCCCCCACACACAAATTCACTCTCTCATAAACAAAGAATGCTTCATGTTTTCATCTCAAACTAATTTTTCCGCACCAATGGCAGTATTCACGGGCAATGTGCAATAATCATGTTCGACGTGACGGCAAGGCTAACTTACAAGAATGTACCGACGTGGCATCGAGACATTTGCAGGTCCAAATGCAGTTCTGCTTCACCTTTCTTTCTTCCTTTCCTTGGTGGCATTGATACCAACAATGCTAGGAAAACTACCCATCAGTTCTCAGTTGAAACTCAATTATTTAAAGCAGTTCTGAAATTAATTAAAAATAAATAAATTCAAGTTGAAGTTTAAAGATAAAGTACAATGGAAGAAAGCAGAAGAGAATCACACAAGAATGTAAGGGCTTAGGGGCCCCTGAATCTGTTTTAGTAGAAACATAACACAAATCTCAAAACTCTGGAACTGGAGAAAAAAACAACACTTCTGTGCCTCATTTGTAAATTGTATCCACAATCATGAACTTTAACCTCAACTGAACTTCCCTAAAAGTCTCATACCAATCATAATTAAAGTAGAAACTATTAAAATTTTTCAAAATCTATCCTAATTAGAAAATATTTTTTTTTTTTACAAGTTTTAGAACCATCTGGAAAAGTAAATTGTTTTCCTCACAAAGTGGAATTCAGCTAAAAATCCACTACATTTCATTCGGCAAAGCCAATCGTTCTGGTTTCTTTTGTCGAGCTATCTCGAATAGAAATATAATCAGGTATATTTGAGCACCAAACAATATAATTGAAATTTCAGATATTACCCCCAAAGCCTGAACTCCACTTCTAACAACTGTATAAATAATTCCAGAATCCAGCAGGAGTCTTAACTTGTCTAATTTTGTTCATTAAACTCTTTTTTCATTTTTTACTGTTACTTACCTTTTCAGCATGGTGAAACAGAGTATGTGATAATATCCCCATTGTTCTATGTGGGAACAAGGTTGACGTGAAGAATAGACAGGTAAAGGCCAAGCAGGTCACATTTCATAGAAAAAAGAACCTACAATACTACGAGATATCGGCAAAGAGCAATTACAATTTTGAGAAGCCTTTCTTATATCTCGCAAGAAAGTTAGCTGGGTATGCTTCAACTCTTTACTCTTGTTTCCCTTGCAATGAAATATTAGTCTATGCTCGTAGAACATGGCATAGCTCTGTTATGTCATGGAAGATCACATCATCGATACACTAGATCACATCATGGATACACAAAATGGGATGCATATAAAAGAAAGAAAAAATTACAAAGAGAACAAGTTGGTGGGACTTTAATGGAAGAGTAGCACATTTCATTTCTTATCCACAACCAACTTCTCTCTCTCTCTCCCTGATAATATTTCTGTTCCTCTTCCTCTTTGTTTTTGCTGCACGATAACAAGTTAGAGCTACGCAAGATTCTAAGATGTTTTTCACTAATTGCAACTCCAAGGTGTTGGGGCTCTGTTATCTCTTTATTTTAGTATCTTATTTAGGCTTGAAGTGAGTTATATTATTCACTAAAGTAGACTGCTAAGATGGAAATGCCTTTGTTTTCAGGGACCCAAATCTCCACTTCATTGCGTCCCCTGCCTTGAAGCCACCAGAGGTTGAAATCGATGTTGCACAGCAACAACTAATTGAGGAAGAGATACGTAAAGTTGTTGATCAGCCACTGCCGGATGACGAAGATGAGTTCTTCAATTGAAAGGGATTCATTGAATCGTTGATGTTTGATATCGTTTGCTTTTGCATATTTATGCAAATCTACCATTGCAATCCAAATGGGGTGATGCACTATGAAAGACAAATCAACAATGTGATCCAAGGTCCAAAATATTTCAATATATAATTTCTATGTAACAATGGCATTTAAAGGCAATTCTACTATTGCTTTACCCAGCCTGCCCAGGGGAATTTCCACAATACGTTTTTTCCATCCCTTTCAAAGCCATGTTTATTTTGAAAATGCCATAATATAGCACCTAAGGGCAGAAATAGCAGGAAAAACAAAAACAAACATGTTTTTTCCATACTGTAGAGTAGTACTGACATTATACTCCTAGGGAAGCTATACAAATGGAATGAAAAGAGTTTCCAAAGGGAAATCTGAAAGTTTCATAAGAGTACAATACAAGCATTCTCAGGAATATGTGCATTTAAAATGAAATAACTGCTTATCACTAATCATAGAGAAATAAAAGAAAAAAAAAAACTGAGATTTCACTAGATTCCCCTGAAGTTTATGAGTCATCTTAGTAAACCATAGATCATAATGTAGAAATATATGGATTATTTGAATCGTAGAATTAAGTTCATCTGGATGTTCAAGAGAAAGGAATCATTCTCATGGCCAATGAATACAGAACAGAACCATTAGACCATAGAATAAGTTCATCTGGATGTTTAAGAGAAAGGAATCATTCTCATTGACAGTGAATACAGAACAGAACCATTAGAATATTATGTAGAATCATATGGAGTATTTGAGCAGGTGCTTTATGCTAAGAAAATGAGGTACACAACAATCAAGAACAAAATAATGACTAGAAAAGATATTCCACAGACTAATGAAATGGTAAGGAATAGAAAAATAAGCAAATCAACCCAAATGGACAAAAGCATAGAAAAACTTCACTCTTCTCATAAAGCTGGTTTTCGATGAGATTGCTGAGCCATCGTTATATGTTGGTAAAATATCTCACCTAATTGACCCAGATGATAACCTCAAGGGGAATGTACTTTGCAAGGACTTCCACATTTCCCCATAAATAGGGTGATCAATTGTAATATGTTCAACCTGCAACAAAGGACATGATTAAAGGCAACAAGAATTCAAAATTGGTTGTCACAATATTTAAAGGTGGAAAACCATAGAAGACTGGAGAGCATGTGGTATAGTTGAGGAACATGGCTTGTACATTATGGAATAACATCTGCTTCCTTGGTTCAAGCATATATAATCGTGGCAGACACATATAAAAATTATATATTTAACCAAAAAAATTCAATTATGCAATCTTACAGACTGCAAAGTAGTACATGTATGCATATATGCTTAGACAAACAAGACATAACTTGTGTTAGATAGGGTTCAATTTCTTCACTTTTTTCACTGTTTCCAAATGCATCAATGAAGTAGCATTTTAGATCTACATTTTGTGGGAGTTCCCTCTTATGCACCATCTGTATTTCCAGCCAAGTTGAAGAAAAATGAAGATACTGAACTGTACACATATTAACAAGATTACAAAACAATCTTGAACCTCTCTCAAACTTGATTTGAGATAACCATGAGTGGAGTGCTTATCTCAATATATAAATGGGGATTGTCTACAAAGAGGCCATTTATCTTTTGTATAAGGTAATCTTAAAACAGCATTCAGGGTATCTAAAAATTGAAGGTTGGAAATTAATCTCACCGATTAATGTACACAAAGGGTGAGATTTCAAAGCATTAGAGTTGCTTCAGTGTAAACAGAGAAATATGAGTTGTAGAAGTGTTTTAAAATGGGGAAAACGAAACCTATTGACAGAGTGTAACGTGGTCCTTTCAAGTTCATGCTTAAGTCAGCAATCACACTGTTCAATATGTAATATGACTTTTAGAAACTTCCAACAGTCATTAAACGCTAGTACCACCATCCAGCAGATATAGTCATCATAAATGCTGCAGCCAAAGTTCTGCACAGCCACCGCGGTCAAGTCCTGGCCACTGTGGTAAAATGTTCGCTCATTGCGATCAAGTCTTGCTAAAGTCATTCCCCTTATATGTATATGTCATCACTAGACTTATCTACCATATGGACTTTTTTAGAGTAAGTGCTCACAATATAATTATCATATCTAGCAACCGTACTAACCATGCGAGCAACTTGTTATTACCATATTAAACCTAAAATTTCGAGGATACAAAATGCTAGGTTGGGTTTCCACTGTAAATGATTACTTAATGAACTCTAGCTCTGTTTTCTTTGACGTCTTACTAATGCTATCCCTTGCAAGGTTTTTAGTCAAAGGATTGGCCAAATTTTTATTTGCCCTCACATGTTTTATACTAGTCACTCCATCTCCTATAAACATTTTGCATGCAATATGTATAGAGTTACCATTATAGACATTATTACATGCTCTCGCAATAGTAACATCATCATCCAAAAATTATCCCAACCATTTGCAATTGCTTATACGAACCTTATTCCTCCATTCTGTTCTATCAAATGTCATACATTTAGTCAAATCAAGTCATTATATCTCTTTTCACTATTTTCATCCATGTCCTTTTGGGCACTCTTTTTATCTTTTTAGATCCTTCCACTAGAACCAAATCATCCCTCCTAGCTAGTGTCGTTCTAGTTGATGTTGTACATGACTTGATCACTTAAATCTATTTTTCCTAATTTTATCACCTATTTGAGCCATCTCTAAGTTCTTTTGAAGGTATTTATTGTAAGTTCTATCATTTCTTATCTTGTCACTCATCTATCTCATCATCTTCATCGTAGTTACATTCATTCTATAGATATGCATTTTCATTTTGGCCATATGGGCAGGTCGTATGATAAAAGTATTTAGTCATTCTACTTCTTTGCAAGCAAAATTTAAAGCAATAATTTATGACTCAATTATTAAGCATGAAATCAAAGTTCGCTTAGTTTACCGCCATGGTTGCAACATCTATTAACATAAATATTATTTATGACATTGAGAGTGAGCTTCCATATTCTAATTTGTGTCATTATATCTCTCCAACACCTCGAGATAATCCACATACTGTATGCCTTAATTGATAGGTCCTGTCAAATATCTTAGCACTCAAAAAATTGCTTCCTAATGCTCCCTGCTAGGATAACTAGTATATCTACTAAGTTTGCCTACTATGTAAATAATATCAAGTGTTGTGTTGCTCATTGTATACATTAAACTGCCAATTACTCCTACATATTCTATTTGAAAAATACATCTCCCTCCTTTTTTCTTTAACTTTACATGATGATTTATTGGGGTAGAGAGTAAGTTACTAGAGTTGTGCTCAAACTTATATAGTATTTTCTACATATAGTAGGATTGTGTCAAAATTAATACATTTTCCTTACCTCACTATTTTAATACCAAGTATCACATGACCCTCTCTCAAATCATTCATCTCAAAGTTATATGCAAGAAATTTAGTTTCCTCCACTATTTTCAAATTAGGGCCAAAGACATAATAACACATAGAGCGTTAGTTGTTTTACTATATACACATTTATCTACCTCATTCTTGTTAAAACTATGTGATGTTAGTGCAACATCAAATTTCTTATGCCATTGATTTGGCATCCACTTAAGTCCATAAACAGATTTAACCACTTTGTAGATTTTATTTTCATATCTAGGCATAACCTTTTTGTTGTTTAATATAAATTACTTCATCTAGTTCACCATTTAGGGAGGTAATTTTGACATTCATTTGGTGGATAACTAGATGGCTAATAGATGTCCTGGCCACTTGAGCATATTTGTTAGATATCTATGCATTTTTTCTATTTAAATCCTTTGACAACTAACTTAGCTTTATATTTATTAATTGACTCATATGTAATATGATTTCTTTTGAATATCCATTTACATCCTATAAGTCTAGAACTAGTTGGTAGGTCCATCAATTTATATGTTTTAGTAGTAAATATAGTCTATTTCACTGTTAATGACTTCTGTCCAAAACCTCACATCATTTGCTGCCAAAAGCTTCACTTATTGTTCCTTCATATTTAAGGCAATAGGTGTTACACCTAATACCTTTCCTTGATTTGCTTCAACTAGGTGAATGTAAAGTTTAGGTCAAATTTAGATATAGGATCTCTTCTTGCTTTTTTATTTCTTCCTGACTCTATTACCTCTCCATTATTATTTTTTATGGGTCCCACATAAGTATATTGTTCTCTATTTTATTCTTCACTTGTTGGTAGAACGTTAATATTTTCTGGTTCACCTTTGTGAGTTAAATTCTAAAAAAAATTACATCTCTGTATTCCATTATTGTATTTGAACTTATTTCTTAAAACTTGTATGCTTTATTGTTACGTGCATACCCCACAAATACACATCTAGAAGTTTTGGGTCCTTTTTATTATTATTATTATTATTATTATTATTATTATTATTATTATTATTATTATTATTATTATTATTATTATTA